GTGGCTTCCTCTACATCGGGGAAACCAAGCGGAGACTCGGGGACCGCTTTGCAGAACACCTACGCTCGGTTCGCAACAAACAACTGCACCTCCCAGTCGCGAACCATTTCAACTCCCCCTCCCATTCTTCAGACGACATGTCCATCCTGGGCCTCCTGCAGTGCCACAACGATGCCACCCGAAGGTTGCAGGAACAGCAACTCATATTCCGCTTGGGAACCCTGCAGCCCAATGGTATCAATGTGGATTTCACAAGTTTCAAAATCTCCCCTCCCCCCACCGCATCCCAAAACCAGTCCAGCTCGTCCCTGCCTCCCTAACCTGTTCTTCCTCCCACCTATCCCCTCCTCCCACCTCAAGCCGCACCTCCATCTCCTACCGACCAACCTCATCCCGCCCCCTTGACCTGTCCGTCCTCCCTGGACTGACCTATCCCCTTCCTAACTCCCTACCTACACTCACCTTTCCTGGCTCCATCCCCGCCTCTTCGACCTGTTTGTTTCCTCTCCACCTATCCTCTCCTCTATCCCTCTTCTATCCGCCTCCCACTCTCTCCCTATTTATTTCAAAACCCCCTTCCCCTCCCCCTTTTCTGATGAAGGGTCTAGGCCCGAAACGTCAGCCTCTCTGCTCCTATGATGCTGCTTGGCCTGCTGTGTTCATCCAGCCCTGCACCTTGTTGTCTTAAAATATATATGGATCGATTTCAATGGATTGTTCATGAAGTGAATTTTAAAGTTGTGAACATTACAGTGAATGTTACCAGTAACATTGGCATTGGTAGTTGAACAGTGAATTTCACGATTCTTGGCTCTGTAAATTAATTGAAATTCCATTGTCCTGGTAGCATTTAGAATAAGAGAGGGTCTTTTCCCTTTCTTTACCTGTGGTGTATAGGTGTTTAATGGATGCTGCCAAGCTGTAACCTTCACAGCACACTACCCTACACATACTAGTACGTCTGGTCACTAATACACAGACCAGGACTGAAGCTAGCCTTCCCTGTGTATTCTAAGGAGGGGAAAGTACAAATATATCTCTTGCCCAAACTGTTGTGTTTTTTTAACCGGCATTGTTCACAGTCTGAGATGCTTAGAGGGGAGTGCTTCTATCCCTTTGAAATTCTTTGACAACTGTGGAAGTGGAATTCCAAAGTTCCCGTCAGGTCAGCTATTAGATTTACACTTGCAGTCATTTAGCTGTATCCGTACCCTTTTAAAAAATATATATACATTGGCCTTAAAGTTTAATATGTCTATAAGTGATCCAGAATTATGATCCATGGTCACAGCAATGTAGATGAGTACGTGTAAATTCTAACTAGGGATGAAATCCAGAACAGGTTTCATTTTAAACATAAATTTAATAATGCATCAAATTTTGGAGTGGCATGGAATGCGCAGTTAGTAAATAAAGTATGGTGACAAAAATAGAAATTAACGAAAAAAACTCAGCAGGTCTGGCAGCATCTGTGGAGAGAAATCAGAGTTAACATTTCGGGTCAAGTGACCCTTCCTCAGAACTGCTTAGCTGAAATGTTCTAAGGAAGGGTCACTTGACCTAACATGTTAACTCTGATTTCTGTCCACAGATGCTGCCAGACCTGCTGAGATTTTCCAGCAAATTCTCTTTTTGTCTCTGCTTTACAGCATTCGCAGTTCTTTCGGTTTTGAAATAAAATATGATATTTATGTTTTATAAGTATCTTGATGTTAACACATATTGATACCTTCAAGTTCAACTAAAGCTGCTGTAATCTGATCACTTTTGTGTTGATGTAGCCTGATATTGAGTGTTCAGCAAAGCAATGGCGGCAGAATGACATACATATTAGATTAGGCATCTGACTCCCAAACACACTAAAATAAGAGTAGCTGTAGTCTCATGTGACAGGATCAGCTGTTGATGTAGAATAACTACAGTGTAAAACCCAAATTTAAAATCCCTAAGTAATCCACTAAACATCCTGAGATGCTTATAAATTATTTTTCATTCTGTTAATGTTAAGAAAGAATGCATGCCATAACTAAGCATTTGTTGTTAAGACTAGAAATGAAGACCACTTTTGCAAACACATACTACCTTACCAGTCAAATATATAAGAAAGGCAGCTAACATGTAACTCTCATGTGCAGTTTTGCAGTGTGCCATCCAGGGTTTGAGGCTGTTACCTGTAGAGTAAAAGCACTGCTATAGGTGCACAACAGCAAAGCTTCCTTCATGAGGAAACAGCTGCTACTTATTTGTTTGTCATCCCACGGTATGTTTGCATTAGACAGTTGTAGTTTTATGAGCCTGTATTTATTTGAAGTTCCTCCCTCCCACTGCTGAGACCCTTTACTTATAGTGCAATTTAGGTTCATAGAACAGCAAGATGAATGTAGAGGCCAACAATCATAACCAGCACCAGTAAAGCTGCCCTAAGTTCTATGTCTTCTATAGATCGAACCAGAATCAAATGTAATCTAGTCTTTTCAGTGCTAATAAAAATATTCCAGTTTCATTCACTGGTATTGGGGCCATTAAATTTGATTTTACGTACTGCTACAGATTGAAATGGCAGGCCAAAAAAAGACTAAAGCAATGATTCCTGTGCCTAACTTGCCAAAATATTCTCTATCATTGCTACTTTTTTTTGTCTCTAACAAGCAAATTGTCACTTATCTTAGTTTAACATTCTAAATTATTATCTCATCCTGAAAAATAATTCCAGCAAATGCAATTGCAATAGGTCTCACTTGTTCATAAATCTCACTCATTTCCTTGACTTGACACTTGTCAACTCAGCTTTGATAGTGGAGGTAGTTACCATCTTAGATCTTACCTCCCCATTTTCTATTAAGGTTGAAAGTGTAAGAGAGGTAATGCAGCTACAACATTATTAGCATTGAACAATCAACTTTTATGCATCAGTAACATGTGCATATGAAGTTACATAGCTTTAGTGAAACAGTGAATGCAGTTGTTCATTTTTTAAAGAACTATTTCTCCAAAAAGATCTACAAAAAAGGATTTGTAGCCTTCAACAGGTGCATAGCATTATGAAAACTTCACCCAGCCTATTGTACATGTTCTAATGCTCGTACCAATTCAACTTTAATCGCAATTTCCTGCTGTCGAAATATATAAATTGAGCATTTATGAAGCTGGTTATTCCTAAAAGGTTCATGAGGTAATGAGAGAATCAGACACATTTTCCCCCATTGAACTACAAGAGCTGTTCTCTTTACTTTGCTGTGATGTGCTGTAATGCTCTGCACAGGATTATCAGCTTGATATGCAGCTAGCATTTTCCCTAAGGCTAGAATCTCCAATCCACAACCTGGAGGCCATATCTAATCTACTTATTAATGTCATCCAGCCTATCCAGCAAATTGGTCTGTTCATATCATGGTGCCTAATACATTCGGCGCAGAACCACAAATTACCACAAAATTACTACAAACCTACATAAAGCACATGGTGGATGTGTATTAGCTGAAACTCATCTAGTCTGCACCTCTTACCGTCTGCTTGGTACCAACAAAATTGTACTGCCCTGAAAACTTCCAACTGAACAGGGAAGCAATGCTGACAGCAAGCTTTGCATGTATAATCAAACGAATGTTTTGAATTTTGTGACAGATTGTTCAGAGTGTTGCAATT